ATTCTATATTATCTATAGTCCATAGAAAGTGTCCACTTCCTTTCCCGTTTAATAAAATTTGATGAAATTACGAGAAAGATGCAAGCAGACGAGGAAGGAAGGGATAGTAAAAGACGAGAAAATAAGTTATAACAAAAAAAAAATCAATATTATAGATATATTTTTACGTATCATGATTTTTTTAATTGAAAAATAAAAAAATAATGCTTATTTTCAATAAAATAAATTTTAAAAACTAATAAATTGAAAAGGAAGGGTTAACACTAATGACAAAATAAATTAAAAATAAACCACAATTTCCATCACTGTAACTCTATACTCGCGTGTTGAGAAATATGATTGTGATTGTTTTTTAAAGTATTTTTTATTAGAAAATATATTAAAATAATATTTTTTTTATTTTTAAAAAATTATTTTTGACATCAGAGAAAGAAGGGTTAACACTAATGACAAAATATATTAAATATAAACCACAATTTCCATCACTATAACTCTATACTCGCGTGTTGGGAAATATGGTTGCGGTTATTTTTTAAAGTGTTTTTTACTCAAAAATATATTAAAATATTTTTTTTTATTTTTAAAAAATTGTTTTTGATATTAGAGCATCAAAATGATCTAAAAAAATTCAAAAGTATTTTTAAAACCCAACACCAAACAGGATTTTATGAAACATAAATAAAAAAACATGTAAAAACTGTTTCACAATAACTATATTTTAAACTCAATTTTTAATGGGTCCCACAATATAAAACATTGTTTGGTTTGTTACGGAGTACTTTGTTGTGTTTGTTGCACTACAAATGCAAAAACAGGTGTAAAACAAACGCAGCCTAATACAAATGTTAAATTAGTTTATACTAGTTTACTGGATTGTGTTCCATTGCATATTAAAATAATTTTTTAATATAATTGTTAATTTGTTGAACTTGTGATCTAAATCATGAAATTAAGATAAATTTATAGAAAAAAATAAAAAATTATGAAGCCTTATAACTAATTTATCTGATGTAGAAGATTGAAACCGAGAAAAAAAAACTAAATTCATGAGACTAATATATAACCTAATAAAAAGAAAATATAAAAAATAATTTCCAAAATAATCTAATATTAAAAAAAATTTGTAAAAAAACACTTAAAAAAAATTTGATGTTGAAGAGTAAAATTATATATATATATATATATATATTATAATTAAAAGGGATTAGTGTTTTACTGTAGCGTGAATTACTGTGGATATGAATGATTTCGTTATGAATTACATTGATTGATGAGGAGTGGTGAGGCTGCAGACCTCAGGTACATGGTTACAGACCCGGCAACGAAAAATAACAAATTTGTTTGGTGGGGTATGGTAAAGTTGCAGACCTCAGGCGTTGGTTGCAGACCTAGGGGAGCGGGTTTATAAACCGGCTCGCCTAAGGTCTATAGACCTACTTCCCTAGTTTCGTAGACCTGCTTGACTGGGTCTGCACACCCGTCAACCAGGTTTTCTTCTTACCCGCACTTGGGTTCGGTAGACCCTCTTAGGGGTTAAAAACTCGTGCAGCTGGGTCTGCAGATCCTGTAGAGAAGGGAAATGAAGAAAAAAAAAAAAACAATCATAATCATCATCATTGTTAATGGTTAATATTTTTTAAAAAAGATTATTACTATTAAAACTTTGGCCAGACAAATTTAATATTATTATTAATATGATAAATATTATTATTTGTATTTTAAAATATTATTATTTTTATTATAATTAAAAGTATTAATATTGAGAATGTTATTATTGTGATATAAATCTTATGGTTGTTATTATAATTAATATTATCAATATTCAAAATACCATTATTTACAATAAATATTATTACTAAAAATAAAAACATAGATTTGATTTTAAAAGTAAAATCAATTGTTATTGTTGTTGTTAACTTGGGTTTAACATCATCTTCCAGGCCTAAAAAACTTGGTGCTCGAAAGGTGCACTTGATCCAAATTGTTTAAAAGTAGCGGGAATGCATACCAAAGTTTATTTGGTATTGAAGCAAAGCTTTACCTAAGACAAATAGGTTTGACATCCTGACTCAAGTCTAATGGGTCTAGCATTGCAGCAAAGTTTTACCTAAAACAAATAGGTTTAACGTCCTGATTCAAGTTTAATGGATTCGACATTGCAGTAAGACTCAAGATTTTTAGATATGAAATTTAAGGTAGACTCAAAGCTCCTAGGCTAGATGTTACAGCAAGACCAACTTAAATATAGGTAAGTTTAATATTATTATTTATTTATTTTTTATTTACGTGGGGTCATTATTATTAATATTAAAAATGTTATTATTTGTATTATAAATATTATTTTTAATCTCCACGGTTTATTAAACATCCTAAAAGCCCAGTGAGCAGGTAAGGCACCGCGGGAATATTATTGTTTTTATTATAATTAAAAGTATTAATAATTAATAAATTAAAAAAAAAACTATTATTAATATTGAAAAACAATAAGAAATTTGATTTGAAGGGTAAAATTAAGAATTATTATTATTATTATTTATTGTTATCATTGGTAAATTGAAAAAAAAATATTATTACCATCAAAGAAAAACCATATATTTTTTTAGAAAATAAAAAATATAAGAACGTGGATAAACAAGTTAAATATTATTAAATTCATTAATATTATTAAATCTACAATAAATATTATTACTATACATATATATATATATATATGTATGATTTTAAGAATAAAACTAATCAGTTATTATTATTGTTGTTGTTGTTGTTAACTTGGGTCTAGCTTCACCTTTTGTACCCAAGAAACTTGGGGCTGGAAAGGTGCACTTGGCTCAAGTTGTTTGAAAGTGGCCGGAGCGCAAATCTAAGTTCTTTGGATCTTGCTGCACTATCTTACTCAAGACACTTGGGTTAGACGTTCAGACTCAAGGCAAATGGCTCCAGCGTTGTGACTCAAGTCTAATGAGCTTGTTGTTGTAACCAGACTTAGGGTCCTTCGGTCTAACATTTAAGATGGGTTCAAAGCTTTTTGAGCTAGGTGTTGCAGTTAGAACTATTTAAACATGAATAAATTTATTATTATTATTATTATATTATTTGTATTATAAATATTTTTTTATTATAATTAATGTTATTGATATTAAAAATATTATTATTTGTATTATAAATATTATTATTTTTATTATAATTAAAAGTATTAATAATTAATAAATTTGAAAAAAAAAACTATGATTAACATTGAAAAACAATAATAGATTTTATTTGAAGGGTAAAATTAAGAATTATTATTATTAGTATTATTATTTATTGTTATCATCAGTAAATTGAAAAAATTAATTATTACCATCAAAGAAAAGCCGTATAATTTTTTTTAAAATATAAAAATTTAGACAAATAAGTTAAATATTATTATTAACATTATAAATATTATTAAATTCATTAATATCATTATTACAAAAAAAATATAGATTTAATTTTAAGAGTAAAATCAGTTATTATTTGTGTTGTTGTTGTTATTGTTACTATTGTTATTATTATCTTAGGTTTGACATTACCTTTCAGACTCAAGAAACTTGGGGTTGCAAAGGTGCACCTGATCCACGTTGTTTAAAAGTAGCAGAAGCTCAAACTCAAGTCTCTTGAATTTTGCAGCGCTGCGTGACCCAAGACACTTGAGTCAGGCGTTCGGATCTAAAGTAAATGGGTTCGATGTCCTATCTCAAGTCTAATGGGTCTAGCATCTCAGTGAAACCCAAAACTTTTGGGTTTAACATATAAGATGAATTCAAAGCTTTTGGACTAAGTGTTGCAGCCAAACCCACATAAATATGAGTAGTTTAATATTATTATTAATATTAAAAATATAATTATTTATATTATAAATATTATAGTGCTTGTGGGGCAATGTTTTTACTATTTGTTAGTAAAAAATCATGGCTGGATCGTTGGATCATAATACCACTAGAATCCAATTGTGCTAGGTCCTATTGCCAGCAGAACTCCATGGTTTTAGGTCCTGCTGGACCCATCAGTGTTGGGTTTTGCAATCAGCAAGAACCATTAAACAACGTCGGATCCTGCCCCTAACAGGACCCAATACTGTAATTTTTATTTTTATTTTTTCACACGGTAAAGAGGAATTATTATTATTATTAAATTTTTAAAAAATATTATTATTATAAAGGAAAAACAATAAATTTTATTTGAGGGATTAAAAACTATAAAAAACTTGGGCCATACAAATTTATTAATATTATATATATATATATTATTAATTTCATTAATATCGTACAAATTTATTAATATTATATATATATTATTAATTTCATTAATATTATTAAATTTAAAATAAATTTTATTACCATATAAAAATATATAAGTTTGATTTGAAGCATAAAATTAATTATTATCATTATTAACTTAAGTTTGACATCCCCTTCTAAACTCAAGAAACTAAGGGTTGGAAAGGGATACCTAACCCAAGTTACCCAAGTTTTTTGGGTCTTGTAGTCCTGCCTAACTCAAGATACTTAGATTTGACTGTAATGCCTAATCTCAAGCTTTTAAGTTTTTATAAATAGATTTAATGATTTTAAATTTTAAATTTATTAAATATTTTTTATAAATAAAATTAATCTATGCATAACAGGCATAATAGGTAACGCCTGACAAATAAAATTATTTAATTATGACTACAACGCATAATAGGTAACGCCTAACAAATAAAATTATTTAATTATGACTACAATTATCTACCTACTTTCAATGATTAATAATGAAGAAGGTTGAGATTTTGGATTCAAATATTCTAATTATTCAATTATTTTTTTAAAAAAAACTATCAATATATTACACCATTTATCTATTTAACTTTTAATTTTTTAATATGTCAATGGGAGCAGCACATCGATCATCGATATTTTTAATATATTGCCCTTAATGGGTTATTTTAATATAAAATGATAAAATTCAATAAAATACAAACATTCGGTAGGCAGAGGCGACACGTAGCACATATTTTAAGCCAATGGGCACTTGAGAACTCTCTGAAACTCCCCTGTTTAAGAGTTTTTACCTATCCGTTTCTGATCTCTAGAAGAAGAGACCATGGAAACTCGTCCACTTTTTCGTTTAACCTTCATCTTATTCTTAATTATACTTCTTTTCACATTTTCATGGTACTCTTTAAACCTACCGGTCGTCTCTGATCCATCTCAATCATCTTCATGGCTGTGCAACTCCAAGAGCAGAGTTTGTGCTCACTCGGGCTCAGTTTTGGAGAGCGAAATTCACAAACCCAGAGACCACATGGAAGATTTCCCACACCATCCCTTAGACCCATTAACCATGCGAGAAATCTACAAGGTGCGGACCATTCTCTCAACCTATCCACCGTTATTGCCTTCTTTCCCAGCTATTCACTCACTATCCCTTGATGAGCCTCACAAGGATTTGGTATTGAAGTGGAAAGAAGGTGATCCTCTCCCCCCCAGGAAAGCCCTTGTGATTGCACTGTTGAATGGTCAGTCTCATGTGCTCTCTGTTGACTTGGATTTGGGCCTGGTCACAAGCAACAAAATCAACCATGGCTCAGGTTACCCGATGTTAATGATGAACGATATTTCGGTGGCAATGCAAGTGGCTCTCTCTCACAAGGAGTTGAATAAGTCTACCATCAAACGTGGGATCTCACTATCGGATTTAACCTGCGTCACTCCGTCAGCAGGGTGGTTTGGGCCGAATGAGGAAGGAAGGAGGATCATAAAGGTCCAATGCTTCTCAAACCAAGGCACACCCAATTTCTACATGAGACCACTTGAAGGGCTGACCATGACAGTGGACATTGACCAGAAAGAGGTGGTGAAATTCACTGACACAGGCGGAGGAATTCCTGTCCCAAAAGGTACAGACACTGATTACCGATTCAAGGCCCAGAAAGAGCCACCCAAGATGAAGCCAATAAATCCAATATCAATCGAGCAACCATTTGGGCCTAGCTTTACAGTTGAAGATGGGCACATAGTGAAATGGGCTAACTGGGAGTTCCATCTGAAGGCTGACCAGCGAGCTGGCATTGTGATTTCACGAGCCATGATTAGTGACTCAGAGACCGGGGTCCCTAGGAGTGTCATGTACAAAGGATTCTCTTCAGAGTTATTTGTGCCTTACATGGATCCTGACGAGAATTGGTACTTCAAGTCATATATGGATGCTGGTGAATTTGGTATGGGAGCGACGGCATTGTCACTTGTGCCTCTAAATGATTGTCCCAGGCACTCTTATTACATGGATGGAATATTTGTGTCATGGGATGGGAAACCGTATGTTCAGCCGAGCATAATTTGTGTGTTCGAACGTTATGCTGGCGATATTAGTTGGCGGCACTCGGAGATCCCGGTCAATGGATTCAATGTAAGTGACATTATTGTTGATGCCCATACATTTCTGTGATTTTTTTATGTATTTCCCTAAATAACAAGCATAAGGAACAAATGAAATGCCATGAGATGAGACGTGAAAAATCTCTGTATATATGCTTGATGGGCATGCTTAACTGCCTTACCAGTCATAAAAAATGTACAAGTTGCACCTCTACGTATTTAGCCAAATCGAGATATAAGAAGCCTAGTTCCAATGCGATATCCACTACTGTCTATTGCGCGCATGATTTTACATCTTATTGCTACATTTTTGCTCAAGGTTGCGCTTAAAAGGAAACTATTTATGCCTTTTCAAACACTGGGATTTTTTCAGATTAGAGAGGCAAGACCAAAGGTGTCACTTGTTGCTCGAATGGCAGCGTCGGTGGGGAACTATGACTACATATTTGACTGGGAATTTCAAGCTGATGGTTTGATCCATGTTGCGGTAAATCTTATGAACATACTTCAGTTTTGTCTCTCTTTTTTGGTGATTGAAAATAATACACTGATGCATTGATGGCACTCAGTCCATTCCATGATCCGTGAATATTGATAAGATCTAGGAGGTGTGTAAATGGGTGTGTTTATTAAGCCTTTAATTTTATCCCTGTTCCTTATAAAAATGGCCTCCACTCACGCTAACCACATTATTCAAAGCAGGTTTCTCTTTCAGGGATGCTGATGGTGAAAGGCACTCCACATCAAACTGCGGATCAAATACCTAACCAAGAAGCAGCTTCAGGCCCTTTAATCTCGGAAAATCTCATCGGTGTTGTCCATGATCATTTCATTACCTTCCATCTTGACATGGATATTGATGACACTAATAACACATTTGTTAAGGTTGATCTAGTCAAGGAGGAGACCTTTCCAGGTCAATCACCGAGGAAAAGCTACTTAAAAGCAAAACGAAACACAGCGAAAACAGAGGATGATGCACGAATTAAGCTTAAGCTCTATGAACCTTCAGAATTTCATGTTATTAACCCTTCAAGACGGTCCAGGTTGGGGAATCCAGCCGGGTACAAAATCGTCCCCGGCGGGAATGCAGCTAGCTTGCTTGATCACCTTGATCCTCCACAGCTAAGAAGTGCTTTCACAAACAATCAGGTATCCATGCCACGATAAATGTGAATATGACACTTTATTTCAGTATTTTTTTTCGCTTCTTTAAAAAACTTGTCTGCTAGATATGGGTGACACCTTTTAATCGGAATGAACAATGGGCTGGTGGACTCTTCACGTATCAGAGCAAAGGAGACGACACCCTTGCTGCGTGGTCTAAAAGGTAATACAGAGGACACTCTGCCCACACATGCGAATGAACCCTCACACGGCATATCTGCACCATTGCATTATAAAGTAAAAGAGAACTGCCATCTTTTGCTAGTGCTTTACTGTTGATCTAAAGCTACAAGTTTAACTAATTAAAAAGAGGACTTGCTTTCATGGCCAGCAGGAACCGAGCAATTGAGAATAAAGATATTGTGCTGTGGTACACCCTGGGATTCCATCACATACCGTGCCAAGAGGATTTTCCTATAATGCCAACCGTGTCATCGAGCTTTGAACTAAAGCCCGTCAATTTCTTCGAAAGCAATCCAATTCTAAAGGCAGCACCCATGTCTGAGGAGGACCTGCCAGTTTGCAGGCCAGCTACCTCTTCTTAATCAGTTGTCGTTTGCTGCATTTATCCCTGTCTATCTCACGTGAACATGTTATGAAACATATCTGAGTTTGTCGATGCATAAACTCTCAAAATTATATATTAATTAAGTGAAATTTGAAACAAATGATACGTGCAACTTAAAGTACTATTGATACGGATATTAAGTAAATAATTTATTGATAACATAATACTAAAAATATGGGAAAAACATTTCAATTTTTTAATTAAATGGTATTGTTTTCTGTTAAAATTATATAAAAAACATTTTTTTAAGTTGACAAGATTAGATTTTATTTGAGTTTAACTAGATCAATTGAGTTACAAATTGATTCTCTGGGTCACTTGAGCTTAATCTAGTAAATATCTACTTACCCCGATTAAAAAAAAAAAAACTTAACTGAAGTTTTATTTCTAACCTATAAATTAACGAGTCGAATAACCATAGTTGAAGAAATTGTAATGCGTGCAAGAGAGCTGTTGCGACATTATCTGGGAGCCAGTTTCGACTTTTTTTTATTAAAATTTAATTTTTTAAAATTATTTTAATATGATGATATAAAAATAAATTTAAAAAAATAATAAAAAATATTATTTTATATACAAAAAATATCATAATTTTCTATGCATAAAAACTACAGTGATTAGCATATATGATACGAACTTTTTAATCGTATAAATTATAAATAACTCGCAAGTTGCACGTTGCCATACATAAATATCTGGAATCCTGGTGATTCCTTGCCACGGAATGATTCTTGTCTATCCACGACGATGGATTCCTGGAACATGACATCAAAATGTCGGTATCGGCTCTCTTTTTTTATTTATTTGTTTATTATATCGGTGAGATTACATTGCTTTTCGCCTCCCCCCACGAGAACCTCTAATTGAATTAATTAATATCTCATGAGAATTTCTATATATTTAGATTGCTTAATTAACGAAACATGTTATGGATAAAATTATTCTCTCTACAAAACAAAAACTACAAAACATTATTATGATGCTTCACTATTCATAAATAAACATACAACGAAGCAACTCAATTTTTTTCAAACCCCTCTTTTTAAAATTCTACCTTCCAAACTTTTTCTTTTTTCTTTTATTATTGAGTATTTTATTAATTTTAAATTGATCGTCATAATTTATTTTAATTTTTTAATAAATTTATTGTTAATTTTAAATAAATATTTTGTATTTGATTGATATTCAATTTTTATAAATATATATTTTTGTTATTGTATTACTAAATAAAAAAATTAAAAAACAATTTTTAAATTTTTTTATCAAAGTTTATGATTTCAGTTGTAAGTTTTGCAAGTTAAGTTGTAAAGCTCGCGTCTTTTTTAAATTCTACCTTCCAAACTTTTTCTTTTTAATTTTATTACTTAGTATTTTATTAATTTTAAATTGATCATTATAATTTATTTTAATTTTTTAATAAATTTATTTTTAATTTTAAATAAATATTTTGTATTTGATTGATATTCAATTTTTATAAATATATATTTTTGTTATTGTATTACTAAATAAAAAAATTAAAAAACAATTTTTTAAAAAATTTATCAAGGTTTATGATTTCAGTTGTAAAGCTCATATTAATCCAATTTATTATCATCTTAATATTAAAAAAATATATATTTTTAAATTTTTTTAAAGTCATGCTACACTTTTACTAGATATTTATGTTGTCTATAAACCCATCAAATTAATTAAATCATGTAAAGTCAATTATCTTATAAGTTAATTTTAAACCTAACTTAGACAATGATTCGGGTCGGGAGGTTTCATCGTTGACCATCAAAATTGTTTTAAGTAACAATTTCAAATTGTTTGTTTTTTTAATTCTATCTTTCTATTATTTTTCTTTCAATTGAATTTTATTGGACCTTTTTTATTAATCTTATCTTCTAATATTTATTTATAATTATTTCAAATTATTTATAATTATTTCAAATTATTTTCTATGAGGTAATTTTACATGTGTTTATTTTTGTTATCATATCATTAAATAAAAAATAATTTGAAAAAATAAAATTGTTAAATTTAATAGAGTCATGATTTAAATTGTGAATTTAATAGATTAAGTATGTGAAGCCCAAAATAATCTAACATGTTATTACCTCAATATTACAAAAAAAGATATCGGCTTATTACTTTAAAGCATTTTTTTTAATTTTCTCTTTGATTCTAGATTTGTAGATTCTATGTGAGTATAAATTTCAGTTTTAAAAAAATAAAAATAAAAATAAAAACAATAAAAAATAGATCTCAAAATTCATTGTACTTTTATGCTAAAAAAGAATGTATTCTTTTAAAACAGAAAAAAAAAGGAGGGAGGTTAGTGGGAAAATAAAGAGAAAAAATAAAAAGTATATAATTATTTATAAAGTAATTGTTAAAAAGAAAAAATAAAAAGTATATAATTATTAATAAAGTAATTGTTAATATTAACATAAAAAAACTCAAATATACTTCCAAAAAATATGGTATAAATGGATTTTTTTAAAATATTATTATAATACATTTATTTAAAAGAATTTTATTCTAGAATCTCAACGAAAAAAGTTAAGGGCTATTTAACAAAAGTGCCATGCATACGTAGGCCAGGAAGGACGAGCTCATGCGCCTTGAAAAGCCTGGGCTCATTCAATCAGCCTTCTTTTGTTTTCTTTTCTTTTTTATAAAAAAATAGACAAACAACACATCACCACTCATTTTTATTTTAATAGAATGGACAACAATTCGTTTTCTAATTCTTTTTCAATGAACTTTTCCATTTTTTCAATATCTAGAGATCAAAACATAATAAAAATAAAATTTGTGACCAAGCTGCAAAAACTTAAAAAAACAAGGACAGAGTAAAAGCTAAAACAAAAACTTGCAGAACCAAATTGAATTTTCCCATGTCCTTTAAATAATATATATGAAAAGGCTATGTTTTTATGTTAATTCTGGTAATTCATCTTTCAATTCTTTTTAATAATAACCTAAAGTTTTATTTTGTAAAATTGATATATAATTTAATGTTATAATATTCTATGCCATATTGGATACGTAATAGCATACAAATCAAAATTGATCCTAATATAAAACAGTATTGACATTAATTATAAGGATTGAGTTGAAAAAAAAATAAAATTTAATGATCAAAATATAAATAAAAACTCATGGACAAAAAAAAGAAAAATTTACTAGGAATGATAAATGATAAATAAACAACAAAATGTGAGATGTGCCACACATTTAATTATTGGTTAACCTCTTTAACCAATAATTAAAGAAGATTATATACAATTTAGCTCTTTCTTATATATTTTTTCATGTTTTTATTTAATGTATGTTTTACTGGAAAATAAAAAATATGAGTTAAAAAGAGATTCTTGATGATAATTAACGAGGAATAATTAAGGGATTACGTATAAATGAAGGTTTTCATGTTGTATCAAGCTTTGGATGAGGGTATCAATGGTTAAAAAAAATAAATGTTCAAATAAAAAAATATTTATAGCCTAAATGCACGGTTATTGTCATCTTTTTGTCGCCTTTCAATACTCAGATACCACTGAAGTTTATTTTTAATTTCTCGGTTTTTGTTTTTATTTTTTTTAATGTAGATTCTCTTAGCTGTTCATTTCCACTCCTTCCTCTTTATATCGCACGCTCTTTCAGTCTCTCACAACACAACAAATTAACAGTAAATAACCAGAAACCAAAATAAGAGATGGAATCAAGAAATTTCCTCCGTTTCCTCTTTATCTTTCTTAGTGTATCTCTTGTCTTGTTCTTCACATGGGTTCATCTCCCTTATGTTCCACAACCAAACTCCACCACTGACCTCCTTGATTGCTCCACCAACTCTCCCTGGTGCACCTCCAAGAACCGCTTTCGGCCTATCAACAAACCATCCACCGCCGATAACATCCTCGAAAAACCACCAAATCCCAAGCACCACAACCACGAATCAGACACTCCCCATCATCCTCTGGACCCCTTAACAATCTCAGAGATCAACAAAGTCCGTACAATCCTAAAATCGCACACCCTTTTCAAGTCATCATCTCCCTGTGCTTTCCACTCTATAGTCTTGGAAGAACCAGATAAAACACTTGTCCTTAAATGGAAAAAAGGAGACTCCATGTTACCAAGAAAAGCAGCCGTGGTCGCACGCGTGGCTGGCAAGTCATACGTTTTAACGGTGGATATAAGTACTGGCGAGGTGGCTGTACAAGAAACTGGTTCTCGCTCAGGTTACCCCACCATGACAATAGAGGACATGACATCATCGACGTGGGCCCCGCTTTCGAACGCTGATTTCAACCGCACAATCATCGAACGTGGAGTTGATCTTCAGGACCTTGCATGCTTGCCAATCTCTTTAGGTTGGTTTGGTGAAAATGAAGAGAACAGGAGATTGATTAAGGTGCAGTGCTACTCCATGAAGGGCACTGCAAACTTTTACATGAGACCAATAGAAGGGCTGACTGTTTTGCTTGATATGGATAGTAAAGAAGTGGTGGAGATATCAGATAAGGGGAAGGACATACCTATACCAAAGGCAGCCAACACTGATTATCGCTATTCTGTACAGGAAATCAATCCCGAGATGATGTTTGTCAATCCAATTTCAATAGAGCAACCAAAAGGGCCGAGTTTTACGGTGGAAGATGAGCACTTAGTCAAATGGGCTAATTGGGAATTTCACCTTAAACCCGACCCTAGAGCTGGGGTGATCATATCTCGGGCTAAGGTCCGGGACCCAGATAGTGGGGAGATGAGGAATGTGATGTATAAAGGGTATACTAGTGAGTTGTTTGTGCCTTACATGGACCCCACTGATGCATGGTATTTTAAGACGTATATGGATGCGGGTGAATACGGGTTTGGGTTGCAGGCCATGCCACTTGACCCGCTTAATGATTGTCCTAGGAATGCCTATTACATGGATGGTGTGTTCGCCGCTGGTGATGGAACTCCATATGTCCGATCACATATGGTTTGCGTGTTCGAGAGTTATGCCGGTGATATTGGATGGCGGCACTCGGAGAGTCCAATTACGGGTATGGAGGTAAGAAGGTT